AGTGAAAACCATGCGAAACGGCGTAAACTTGGCTAGCCGTGGTTTTCAACTAAATGACGTGGTTTTCAAAACGTTTTACTTGATTTCTTAGCAAAATGCATTAAACAAACATTTTCAATACTTGGTTTTTACTTTGGAGAACTTACATTTTTGACATCGGCTAACGGCTGACTAAACCAACCATGGGTCTGGCTAAACCAGCCCAACAGCGATGTTGGTGAAACCAACAGCGCTGTCTGGCTTGGGTGGCTGAAANTCCCATTTTTCAAACCGCAAGCCTAGAACAGCGATGTCCAGGCCTAGGACAGCGCTGTCTGGGTGATTTTCAACAGATCCAAATTTCATCAAATCCCACAAATTATGCCAATCACCCCTTAAATACTTTGGTCCGTTGGAGCCTATTTTTCTACTATAAAATGAGGTGTTTGGGTCTGTTTTACATATCACATTACTTCTCAACTCCTACTCTTTCATTGCAAATCATTCTTTAATTATTCATAGCTTTTGAGAGCCATTTTTGTGAAGCTTGTGTCGTGTTCTTGAGCGTTCTTAGTTTACTCAATATCCACTCTAAAAAGAGAGTATTGTTCTTGAGTCTTTCTAGTGTTCTTAGACACTTGACAAGAGAAGGTATTTCTCTTGTTGTTCGAAGGAAGGGTTGTTTTCTTCGAAGGTTCGTTGAGGTTCGTGTGACTCGAACTCTCAAGTTGTACGGGTTTGTTAAGCACCGTTAAGCTTAACGAGATAGTAGTGTAGCTCGAGAGAGTCTCTCGGGAGGCTGGATTAGCCACAAGTTGTGGTGAACCAGGGTAAAATCGGTGTGCCTCTTTCTTTTCTCTTTACTTCTCACTTATTCATTTTTATTCGTGCGATTTCTTGATCAAACGCTATTCACCCCCCCCCCTCTAGCGTTGGTCTATTATTCTAACAAATAAAATTACAAAGTTTTACTACCTTAACTAAATTAAATTACCACGGTTATTTATACACGGTTATTTTAATGATCCATTAATTGCCATTTAGTAATTACCATATGGAGTGAAGAATTACCATATTTTAAAATTTTAAAATAGCAGCACGGTGCCATGCTATTAAATAATAATAAAATTACAAAGTTTTACTACCTTAATTAAATTAAATTACCACGGTTATTTATACGCGGTTATTTTAATGATCCATTAATTGCCATTTAGTAATTACCATATGGAGTGAAGAATTACCATATTTTAAAATTTTAAAATAGCAGCATGGTGCCATGCTATTAAATAATAATAAAATTACAAAGTTTTACTACCTTAACTAAATTAAATTACCACGGTTATTTATGCACGGTTATTTTAATGATCCATTAATTACCATTTAGTAATTACCATATGGAGTAAAGAATTACCATATTTTGAAATTTTAAAATAGCAGCACGGTGCCATGCTATTAAATAATAATAAAATTACAAAGTTTTACTACCTTAACTAAATTAAATTACCACGGTTATTTATACACGGTTATTTTAATGATCCATTAATTACCATTTAGTAATTACCATATGGAGTGAAAAATTACCATATTTTAAAATTTTAAAATAGCAGCACGGTGCCATGCTATTAAATAATAATAAAATTACAAAGTTTTACTACCTTAACTAAATTAAATTACCACGGTTATTTATACACAGTTATTTTAATGATCCATTAATTACCATTTAGTAATTACCATATGGAGTAAAGAATTACCATATTCTCCACACCATGAAATGGGCGAGAAAAGACCAATGGAAATCCATGGCTTTTTAAATAATAGATAGATAATCATTTATCATAATCATCAATCAACATAACAATTGATAACAAATAGCGGTCTAGTTTCGAGTGTTAACACCCGAACTTACCGTCATGCATCACATAACATTTTTATTTGTTAAAAACATCATTTTTATAGAAAAGAATCATCCTTAAAATAATCTTAATCAAATTTTCGGACATATTTTCGGGTCAGAATTTCGGGGGATCGATCCAGTAGTCTGGATCGATCCAGACTGTAAAAGAAAAGCTCTAGGTGATCGATCCAAGGGATGTGATTGATCCATCCTGCTATTTTTCAGCTTCTGTTCATCTTCTTCAACCTTCGGTCCATTTTCCGGAAATACCATTTTTAGTTATATCGAACTTCAACGAAACTATATAGATATGTTCTCCAAGGTTCATAGATCATTTTGGCATCATTAATTCATAGTTTTAACATCAATTTCATGAACGTAAAGATGTTCTTCAAGCATGTCAAACACAAAACTCAACCAAACGAGAGTTTATGAACGTAGAAACGATCTATACGAACATTCTAGTCATCAGATATATCTACGGGCTTACCTCAAAGCTTAACAAAGGTTTTGGAAATTTTCCGGAGAAACTTCCGGCGAGGTTTGTAGCTAGCTCCAGCAACTTCACCCTAAATTGACAGCACCACTTTGTTCTCTACACTCACAGCTTCTTCTCAGAGTTTATTTGAATGAATTTGATGAAGAAATAGATGAGATTGGGTTCCTTTTATATGAGAAGAAGTGAAGAAGAAGACATGAGTGTGACTCAGGATTCTGTTTCTTCGTTGGTAATCGATTTAGTGCGCAGGACGACAGATTTGTAGGATTTCACACGCCGTTCACTGATTGGGACTAATTTTGGTCCAAGTTGGGGTATACTTTATGGTCCAACTTTCTCCGAATTGAATTCCATTTGCACCGTTGCGATCGGGTAGTTAAAATCTATCCAACGATATAATTTTTATATTTATTTGTAACACTTTTTTTGACATCATATTTTAGGGTGTTAGACTTTGACAGGGTCAAAGTTGATTTAATTGACTTTTATCATAAAAGGTTCTCACATCTAGTTTACATCATTTGTTTCTCATGAATTATTTCAATAAATCATTTTAAAATTCACATCATAAATAATTGAAAAAATTTCCAAAATAGTCCTTTGTAATAAGGGATTTTCCCAAATTAGTCTTCAATAAGTTTTAATTACCTACATGATCTTCTATAATTGAGATTTATTCCCAAAATAGTCCTTTGTAATAAGGTGTTTTCCTAAATCAGTCCTCAATAAGTTTTAATTACCTACATGGTCGTCATCTATAATTGAGATTTATTCCCAAGATGTTCCTTTGTAAATAATGTTACTCAAATGAGGATTAATTGAGAGTATTTTTTCTCTGCTAAATTTAGAATTAATTCTTAAAATAACCATTTATAATGAAGTGCTTTCCCAAATTGGTTTTTCTAATTAAAGATATGTATTTGATTTGAAATTTAAAATATTTTTTAAGTTTTAAATAATTTATAAATTATTTATGAGTATATTCTCAAAATGGTCCTTTGTAATAAGGTATTTTCCAAAATCAGTCATCAAATGAGGATTAATTGAGAGATATTTTGGCATTTTGATCATCCAAATTTAAAGTATATTTTCGAAACAATCATTTCTGTACAACTAAATGTAAAATTTTAAAAATATATTGACTATAAATAATGTATGAATTATTTAAAACTTAAAAAAATCTTTTAAATTTCAAATAAAATATACATCTTTGACTAGAAAAATCATTTTAGGAAAGCACTTCATTATAAATGATTATTTTAAGAATTAATTCTAAATTTAGTGGACAAAAAATAACATCAATTAATCCTCATTTGAGTAATATTATTTACGAAGGACCATTTTGGAAATAAATCTCAATTATTGAAGACCACGTAGGTAATTAAAACTTATTGAAGACTGATTTGGAAATATACCTTATTATAAAGGACTATTTTGGGAATAAATGTAATTATATATAGAGGACCACGTAGGTAATTAAAACTTATTGAGAACTAATTTAGGAAAACCCCTCATTACAAAGGACTATTTTAGGAATTTACTCTAAATAATTTCTCCATTTATTCTTGATTTGGGTCTGTACTCAGGTTCCCAATCAAGACCACACAATAAGTTAACATATTAGATTTATCTCTAAGAGATTTATCTATATTGTGATAATGGATATCAAAACATATTTCGTATCGTCCCAAAGCCCAACAACAATTTATTTTAATCAAAATAAATTTGTTTAATCGAATAATTATTTATTAATAATTCTAAGGTATGTTTTGGGGCGTTACATTAATCAATCCCATAAATCAAGCCAATCACTCCTTTAATGCCTTGATCCGTTGAAGCCTATTTTGGCACTATAAAAAAGGGTGTTTGGGTCTGCTTTACACACCAATTCACTTCACAATATTTATACTTTCATTGCATTCAAACAACATCATTTTTCAAAGCTTTTTAGAGCCAATTCGTGTGAATTTTGAGTTGTTCTTGAGCGTATTTAGTTTACTCAATATCTACTCTTAAAGAGAGTCTCGTTTTTGAGTGCATTCGTGTGCATTCTTAAAAGTAGAATTAGATTGATGATGATGATGATGATGATGATGATAATAATAATAATAATAATAATAATAATAATAATAATAATAATAATAATAATTCTTTATTGGATCTGATATGATGATCTAGTTTGATCTGATCTGATTTTAATAAAAATAAGAAAAATAAAATAATAAGTTGAAGGAAACTGGACTAAGGAGTTGTTTGTTTCAGCCTCTTAATGGTTCAGATGTCTGAATAATTCAGCACTTTTTGGTTCAGACTGTTTGTTTCAGCCTCTTAATGGTTCAGATGTCTGAATGGCTCAGACATTTGTTTCTGAATGGTTAAGTATTATAGAGAGTCTGAATGGTTAAGACCTCTTATCTGAATTGATCAGATATTTGCCCCTAAATAGTTAATCAATATACTAGCTTACTGGTTCAGCACTTAATGATTCAGACCTCTTATTGATTCAGCAGTTTCTTTTTCCTATCATGCCCACCGCCCTACTGCATTGGGGCGCATCATCCTCTATCCTCTTCTAGGGCTTATTGGCAGTCGACTCACGGAGACTGCTATACTGTTGCTGTTTCGTTACCGTTCCTTTTCTTTGATAGATCCGTTCCTTCCTTGTAATTTGTTTGAAAGGAAGACAGATGGAGCTGCAAATTAAGGTTGCGCAGGCTGTTCACGTGCTTAATCATGACACACAGTCGTGTAACCGCGTTGCTGCTAATCAGTGGCTCGTCCATTTCCAGCAAACTGATGCCGCTTGGGAAGTCGCCGCCGCCATCCTGGCGTCCGAACAACGTCATCCTCTCGTTTCTAATTTCGAAGTCGAGTTTTTCGCGGCTCAAGTTCTGAAACGAAAGGTTTGTAAGATATCCTTTCTATGCTGAATATGTAGTTCACTTCTGCCCATGGCTGACGGTGCATCCACCCAATATGTAAATTACATATGTGTGTTTGTCGTTGCAACAAACCTGGCGTTGTTTCATGACTCTATAGATCCAAAACGAAGGAGGCTGCCTGCAGTTGGGTGCTAAAGATGCCCTGCTTAATGCTCTTCTCTTGGCAGCGAAGAGATACAGTTCAGGACCTCCACAGGTAATCCACCTTGTGGGTATGAGTTACTCTCTCCTACATTATAATTTTGGGTAGGCACAACTGTCAAAAATCATGAGAACATATTTATATATTTCGAATTTATTTATTAGTTTAACTAGATTTATCATATCTAAATTATTGGCAAACCTTTTACAGAGTTATTTGATGAAATATCTCTTTTCAAGCTTTTAAAATCTGATCTTCTTCTGGAGAGTAATAACTTGTACTCCGTATATATTTCATCCTAGAGATTGTAGTAGTATTTTCCTAACTATTTCATCTTAAAGCAGCTGTTGACACAAATCTGCCTTGCTCTCTCTATGCTTATACTATATGCTGCGGAGCATGGAAAGCCTATTGAAAAGCTCTTTTACAGTTTCTACAACTTGCAAAACGAAGAAGATGGCAAGTTTGCTCTTCTGGAAATGCTTACTGTCTTGCCAGAAGTTATTGAGGATCAGAATGCTGATTGTAGATTAAGCTCGGTCCAACGATATGAGTATGGCCAAGAGGTTTTGGATTTTATTTGAAATATTTGTCACGTTTTTTTGTAATACCTTTAACCGGAACTACATCTCTTTTTAACTTGAAAATGTATTGGTAAGTGCAGCTTCTCTCTCACACTTCAATGGTTTTTGAGTTTCTTCTGGAGCTAAGTAAGAATGTTGACAGTGGTATTCAAATCCATAACAGGAACAAAAAGCTACTGCGCTGCTTGCTAAGTTGGGTGAGATATTTTTAAGTACTACCACTTATCATGGTATATTTTGGATTGCAAATGAACCTCTCATTAACTAGATGAAGATTGGTAGTAATCTACATTTCATTGGTTAAGGTTCTCTTTGTTTGCATTACATTAAAGAGCACCGAAGGGCGGAGGATTGTTTGTTTTTATCTGGGACATTGGGCTGAAGCAACACACAGAATATTGTAATATGAAGGTTTTAAAAACATGCCTTGACCTAAAAGAGAGAAGTTGAATGTAAAGTGTTCATGGTATCTTATCTATTCCACAGAACCAAAGAAAATCAAGTCGGCATGTTTTTTTTATATTTGACCAAACCAGTTAAAAGGCTCAATGATTAGTACAATAGTATAGTATATTCTAAATACTGCTTGTGACTCTTTTGACGATTTCTTTTCCTTTTCCCTTTTCTCTAATTACCTACATATTTTGACTATTTCTACTTGGGAAATGATTCCACTTCTACTTTGAAAAGTCAGGAAGAATTGGTTAGCTTTATGAAGTTAGTCTATTTTCTTTCGGTTTTCATTGTAAACTTGCAAGGTGATTTACACCCTTATATGCTTATTTGTTAAGATACATGTTATGGTCCTTTGGGTTACTGCAAAAGATGAATTAGTCTTGCCTTCAGTAATCAATGATAGTCTAATAGACCGGAATCCATGCTAGAAAGACGAAGAAAAATGAGTAGGAAGGATGAAAACTTTATGAATACTTTCGTGTTCAATTCTACGTTCTCTTCCAGTTACATCATGCCTTCCTATTGAAAGAAAATTTGAATTGTAATTTAAAAGAAAACAAAGACTTGCCAAACATTAGTAAATAATTTATCAACTATTATAAGCGAATGATAAATATAATCACAGCCCTCCCAAACATCAAGCTTGTCTTCAAGTTTTGTCCCTGGTCTTTGTATTGTTTAAAAAGTTTGACATTTGAAATTTTAGGAAATGTCTAACATTGTGTTGTCCACGTTAGTACTAATCGTATAAGTGTGATCAAGATTGTCATTGTTTTTGTACCACAATTTTGTAGGAAAAGCCTGTGTGGTGAAGGCTAATTAGGGAATAATTATGGATGTTACGTGTGTGGGGTTGAAGAGCACAAAAGGTTGTATGAAGGGTGTTTGTGTTTGATTCATCTGGAAAATTAAGTAGTCGCGACAAAGTTGGGTCCACTGGGAGTGACATTTGCCAGTTTTCTAGTGGCAATAATGGGCTTTGTGGCACCTTTGTTGTATAGGATTCTGTTTTGACCATAGTACAAGGTTGAAAGTAGGTAGTGATGTTTTGGATTCTTTGAAATCGTTTCCATTTTGTGTGTAGTGAACAAAAGAAAAGTTACTAATAATTGTTGAAGTGTGCAATGAATAACATAGGTCAAATTTATCTTTGTTTTTGGACTTAAATTTGTCAAAAAGGCCTCCGCGGTGGAGGTTGAGTTGCGAATAATTTTTTTACTAGTGCATGGGTGAAGAACACAAACAGTAATGGTAAGGGTGTAGGTGTGTTATCAACCGATAACAAAATTAGTGCTCAAAGTGAAGGTATGTTCACTATCGGCGACTATGGCTAGCAGCAAATCAGCTACAATGGATTAAAGGCAGCGTTTGTGTATATGGTACATTAGGCCACACTTTAATTATATTCTTGCAAATGTATGTGCATATCTTGCACCATGGTGTCTGGTTTATATTATGGGATCAGGGGTCTACCTTGAGCAATCAATATTTGTTTCACTATCTTCCCTAGATTAGCTGTTGTTTTATCCAACGTTCGAAATTGCGTAATACGGTTTTGAGGTGTTTTTCTGACAAGGCGTAAGGCATAAGCCTCAAGGCGTATGGAGGCGTAAGCCTCAACTTGAAGTTAAAAATGTATATATTACATATTTAAATTAGAACATAATTAAAATCTATAAAAAATAAAATAGATTCCATAAACATTAAAATATAATCTTGGAAAATAGTAGATGTCAAGCAAAACAAAGTTGAATGTAACAATCGACCATAAATGTTTTTTCCCAAAATCAAGCACTTACTAAAAAAAAACAATCGACCATAAATGCTTTTCCATAAAAAATGTTAAAAATAAAGGAGATAAAGCAACATAGATTTTTCCCAGGAGGGAGTCGACAAAAAAATTAGCAAAACAACGAGCACTTACAGGCGATGATGGAATCGGCGAGTGATGGCATTGATGGAACTTGGAAGATCGAGCTGTGGCATTGATGAGCAGTTATGGCGTAGTTAGGCGAATAGATGAATCGGAAGACACGAGGCGTGTGCGTAAGTGCGTAAATAGGCTCTAATTGTTAAATTAAATTATGAATTTATTCCTAAAATATTTTTTGGGGGGACAGCAAGGCGTAGGATTTTAACACCTCGGGGCGTAAGCAATGAGGCACACGCCTTGTGCTTCAAATATGAGCCTTTTTGGAAAAAATAAAATCGCCTAAATCTAGATTGCATCAGGGCACAATTTTCCAGAAACTGCCATGAGGTGCGCCTCAAGGCGGGATTCGCCACACTTTTTAAACATTGGCTGCATCTTGTGTAAGTTGTGTTGCTGCAATGGATTCTACCACGGAGGAGAGGGTTTGATTTATGTCCCCTTGGGCCTCGAATGAAAAGAATTTGTTAGGCTTTAAGAGTGTGGTCATCGTTAATATTGCTGCTCTTAACGCTCGCTATGGGATCCAAGTTTATATATTTATTTGTTATTCTTAAGAGACTTATTACATGCTTGTTGATAACTGAAGATTACATCGAAGATTAATTTTGTATTCAATTTTGACATCTCTTTCAATTCCATTATGGCTCCCACTTAAAGAATTTAATATTATAATTGTGTTTTCTAAAACATAAACTATCCCTTTTTTTAAGGACTGGAGGAAGTAGTTTATTTTAAAAACTCTCAACCATATAATTTCTTTGTTGTATTTCAAGGCATCAGCTGAGCAGTCTAGGCTATGTGGTTCTCCATTGCCCGTTTGGCGCCTAGCGTATTCTACAACACTAATATAAGTAGATCCCTTAACAATTAGTTACGGAAAGGCAAATAAAAATGCAATTTGTCAAGGCTAACTGGAATGTATTAGTTAGCCTTGATTTTTTTATCAATTCAATCCCATAATTTACCCTTTTGGAATTACAGTACGCGCATATTATTGATTCCATGTAGCCTTGATTTCTCTGTTGAGTGATTCAATTCCATAAATTATTCTTTTTTGATAACAGTGTTCACATATCACACTTAATCACACACTTCATTTTTTT